ACTAGGGTCGTCAATGGCGTATTTCCCTGTAAAAAAAAAAAGTTAAAAGCTCGTGGACACGCTTTTTCTCAGGGATAATTCGCCGAGTGAAACGGTCGACGCAGGTGAGCGCTCGTGGACGGATCAGCGGAGTGGTTCCGGATCCCAGGTAGTCCCAAGCTGCCGCTGCCTCGGACGAACTACGTTTCAGCAGTTGTTTCGGCGTGCACCTGATGGACATTCACAATCTGACGCTGTTGGAATTAGGAATCCTTCGGCGGACGGAGGCTGCTTATGCTCGAACGTCGTCGAATGCAACGCGAGCCAGCGCAAGACGACGCGGTACAAATCGTGCGATCGGCGTGTGTGGTTCGTCCGTGTTGTGTGGCCATGCCTCAAAGCAGCGATTTGGGGCAGCGTTTGGCAGTTATAAAACAAGTAAATGATGGGAATACCGAGCGCACACCATCATTTATTTTCTCCGAAACGTCACATGAATATCGAAGGAAAACAAAGCTAAAAACCACAATATCGCGTCTGTCGAAGCTAGCCACTTGGCAGGTTCGGCGGAGTTGTGTCCAATCGACTCCGGTGAATCCGCCAGAATAATTTGATGGAAGCGATGCACTCGATGTACCCCAGCGACCTCTTTTTTTTTTTTTTTTACCGCTACTGTCGTGAAACAAACTAACACACCCCAGTTGAAAATTTCTGGCCGCCTAAATAGCAGATGTTTGACTGGGTTCGCCGTTCCCGTAGATTCGACGGCGCCTGTTGTTTCGACCGGGAACGGCCTTCGGCGCGTCTTCGAGCTTCCAGCTTTTGCCGGCACAACGTGCATGCGAGTCCGGCGCGTTAGGCCTACGAAGCGTCTCGGGGGTAGCGCATCCTCGGTGCGGTCCACGTCCACGCACACACTCGTCCAGTCGATCGCACGAACGTTAAATATGCCGACCAACACAAAAACACGATAACAGCACACGGTCAGAACGGCAGGTTCAGATCGCAGAAATGAGCGTCTCACACACTTGGACTGGCCTCGACGGCCTCGACGTCCAGATTCCAAAATGGGGGCGGTCGCACGAGGGCTCCCGGGGAAGCCACCGTCGTCGGTGTTCGGGGGCGGGGTGTGCGGTTTGCTTTTTCCGTCGTGAGCTACATTGAAGTGCGCCGGACCCGCTGGGCTACGCTGCACTACGTCGCGCTGCGCATAGAGTTGGAGGAAAGACTCCCGTTCGCAGCCAGCGTCGGCCAACGCGATCGGACGCGAGCGATCGTCGACGTTACGACGCGCGACGCCGACAAGAGGAGCGCGATGAACACGAACTGCGACTCTCTGTCGTGGCTAGGTGGCGTAAGCTACCGCCCGTTATGAAGAATACGATCGATATCCATCGATTTACCCGTCCATCCGACGGCGTCGGGCGGACACATCGCTCTGGGTCCAGCGAAAACCGAGGAAAAATATAGTTCGCTGGTTTCGAAGCGAAATTTTACTATTACGCCCTTTGCACCAATAAGATTTTGCGTCTTTGTCAAAATACAATGCAGAACGTATAATGATAACAATCGTAACCTCCATTGATTCAGAAAATAAATTAAAAAAAATAAAACGCGAGGGTAGAGATCAGATTAACTGAAGAGCGTGTTGGTAACAATGACTGGCAACAGAAAGAATAAAACAAACTCCGGACAAGGGACGACGAACATTTCTTGTCCGGAGTTTGTTTTATTCTTTCTGTTGCCAGACTAAAGAGTTTGCATGATTTTTACTGCCGTGAGACCACAGGCAACATTGAAATCTGGAACTATCGGGTGTCTCAAATAGCGGCCGGAAAAAGTAAAGAAAGAAAAAGGCTTAACTTTCATGGAAACCCAGCCAAAGTTCCGGTCTTCCGTCAATAGGGCGCCGTATTGTTTGAATACCGGTGGCTTCGCTGCGTTTCCAAAGGAGTTAAGCCTTTTTTTATTTTACTTTTTCCTGAGATAACTTCGCTCTTTGCAAATTTTATAGAAAAAAATGCCCCATCATTGGGCAACGCTGCACAAAATCGTATCGCGATAGGTTAAAAAACCGAAATTTGCGTTCGATTTAAACAACCTGGCCACGACTTGATACACCCGGTAGATATAGCTGTTAGCTGGCAATTATTACACAATATAACACCAAGAAACGTTTGTTTTTTTAAAAAGCATTTTAGTGCACTTTTAAGGTCCCAGCGCACTTACGACACTCGTGCCCTTCCAATTTTCGAAAACGTCACGTCGCGGGAAAAAAAAAAACGTTATTAAAGTTTAACTTTGTAGCGCATGAAATGCGTATTGAGGACAGAAGGATACATAGTTGCGCATTTTACTTTCACCTTCCACCAACGTAAATGCAACGTAGAGGATTTGGAGCTGACTCGTCCAGGGGTATGAAGCTAGTGGAATAACCTACCATATATAATATAAAACGTTAAAAATAAAACAATGGCCATTACTCTCAATCCGTGCGAAGAATGCCGGAGTTTAGTCTTATTAATTATGCGTGTATTTAAGGGGCTGATATTGGTATGAAACGATGGTGCCTCTTTAGCTCATTAGGAATAAATGTCCGGACAGGAAATTTCCGGAATTCATTGAGTATTTCCTTGTCAGTTATAAACTACCTATAACTATCTATACGTAGAACACAGCAAGTTATAAAAAACAAGAAAATGCTAGAAACAAATGCTGGATGTCTTATCTGTTCGTATCCTCGAAAAGGTTGATGACCTTGTGTAATAGTAGGACTAAGCTAAAAGGCGTGATAAACTTTCATGCTTTTACCCTTTAAGCCTGCGCTTATAACCTTTATTCTCCACTATAATCTACTGAAAACCTAAGAGGGGGGGCACCGAGCATTGGTGTGAGGCAGGGTACACCACGAAAGCCAAAGAAGCGAGCTTTCGAGAAGCTTCCCTCGGGCTTCTCCTCATCAAGAGGGTGCTTGCAGAGAAGCGACATTGCGGGTAGCGGAGCGCAAGCTATAAAGAGGTTCGAGAGTTTCATGCGGAATAAGGGGTCGTAAAAAGGAGAATATACCTTTATATAAAAGCGTACAGCTTACGGACGCAAGAAAAAAAAAAGTGTTTTTCATATGTACATTTAAAAATACGCATAAGCGAAGACGAAGATGTTACGGTACGGCAGTTTCCAGTTATAGCTCGGAAACACCAGGCGGGCATCGCGAAAGTCGACTGCTATTACGTAAACAAAAAGTTAAAAACCAGAAAAAAAAATTGCTTTAGTACATTAGGAACTGAGTCCTCAGTTCTAGGTACGTCGTAGGAACCAGGGTTCCTACGACGTACCTAGAACTGAGGACTTTAAACGCGTCTTTATTTTAGTCCCTCGATTTCCGTCTCGTGACGTCACAGTCGAGAATCATGCGGTTCTCCGCAATCGTGGCTGTGGAGCGGCAGCGGAGGAGGATGTCGAAGACGCGTGTCCCGCTGTAGTCCGCTCTCCAGGCGGCGGGTCGGCGGAAGATTGAGCAGTGACGGGTTGAGACTAGAGTGCCTCGGTTGCAGAGTGTTTCCAACCAAACCGCACAGAAGGCGTCCGCCACGAAATTGCAAACGCTCACCATGGTTTGACTTGCTCCCTCTCCTAAAAAACGAGACGAAAGATCCAACCAGGCTTGAATGGACAACGTATCTGAGCATCCAACAAGCCTCAATATCCACTAGCGGATATTTTGACTCGTTGAATCCTTCGACTCGTTGGATATTCGGGCTCTGAATCTTGACAATAAGGGTACTGTATAATCAACTGAAACTAAGGGTGAAGGCGAACTGGTTTCACACGGACATTAATCCCTCACATTGTAACACTCGAGACACATAACTACACTCCAGGGAGAAAATGACCACGCAATAAGTTGCCAACTTCGCCCCTGCGACAGACGAACCAACAATTACGAGGCGGCAGTTTTCGGAGCGCGCGAAACCCCGCATTCATTTCTACGAAGCAAGCGCGCTTGCGCAAAACAGCAGTCCTGAGCTGATAATGAATGACTGCAGACGTCTTTAGCAACTCGGTCTATGGTTAAGTTTCAGTTTCAAGCGATCCCCATCGGGGGAGGTCCTGTTTCTTTTTATTTTATTTACGTTTAATTGAAGAGAAATGGTCCGTTTATGCAGACTATGCACCGCATGTTATATTCCCTCTCCCTCCGGAGAAAGCTTCGGGGGAATCTGCTCTGGACGTTCGACACGGAAAGGGAGGACTGAGGGGTTAGCGCTTTCCCTAGGGGTTTGCCACCGAGGGCGAATTGAAGGGGGGAGGGGAGGACACGATTGCCCAACGGCCCGACCCGCCGAGGAGGCGGAGGAGAGACTGCAATGACTGCGCAGGTGTTTGGGCTTTCCAGTTGCATTTTTGAACTGCGGAAATTGTGGCAGACAACCCGGCAGGACGAGCCTCAATGGCCCGATCCAGTGATTAATCTGAAACGTTTATTCAAGGTTGCATTGTATTGTAACATTATTTGGAAGTATGTGCAGTATTTACTATTAAACATGCTAAAGTAAAATAGCACAACCACAAATACTGGAATAAGAACGGAACATAACAAACCGCTAACTCGCTGTTTTTACTGTAAGAAATTAAAAAAAAAAAAAAAACATTTCACACCGTCGTGCATGCATCCACCACCCTGGTGAATACCAAATGGATAACTCATCACTTTTGCATATGCAAAAACCCCTGTCACTAATATATTTTTTTTTTTTGCTCAAGAACGTTACTGGTGATTTAGTGATGCGGTCTGTCCTCCAATGGTTTTCCCAAAATGGCTCTGTCCATGAAGCATGTTTTGCACAGAAATTGAGTATGTTCAGTGATTATACACTAGCCCAGCTATGAACTTGGTTTAATCTTACTGTACTTTATTTAGGTCCTTAAAGTACATATTTAAAATAACCCTCCTTTCTATGGCAGAGGTTTATTTCTTGTTTGTTAAATGAACTGACTCGTCTTTTTGTGTTCTGTTGCAGAGCCACTATTCCGTGAAAGGCGCCGGAGCAGCCATCGGCCTCGGAACCGACAACGTGGTCTCAATCCCCGTGGACTCAAGGTATACACATAGGGTTTCTAGAGGCTTTGACTGTTAGCACTGCAAAGCTAGTCCATCCGCTGAAGCCGGCTAATCGTTTGACGAGACCTTGCGGTGTAACGGAAGTGACTATTCGTTTTTTCTACAACTGTACGGTTGTTTGGATAGCTCCTAGCTTCCTTACAGAGCAACACCACAGGGTGAGCTACTACTTTCTCGGGGTTACCTTAGTTTACTCCGCACCGCAATGCACTAAAAACACCAATAATTGATTTTTTGTTTAGTGATAAGGGCGAGCCGATGCAATCTGGCTTAAATAAATCCACCCATTTGTATTCTGAAGCCCATTCAATAATGATGTCAACGACCCCCCTTATTGAGTGAATTGATAAATAGAAAACAAAATCCGAAGGCATCGTTGGGTCGTATGCATATGTTAATATTTGAAGAAAAAATTGATTGCCTAGCCTAAAAAACGAAAATATCATATTTCCCTTAAAGAAATGTATGCGCCGAGCAACTGAGGGAGAGGAGGAGGCGAGAGCCCACGGTGACGTCAGAACACCGAGCTCAAATTCGAATGATCAGTGGGTAACCCCTAAAACCAGCTGTCTTTGTCACCACTGCACTCGTCGAACGTCTAAGAACGCGTGGAACGCCGCCGTCCGTCGTTTGGCTTTCGCATTCAAACGCGTTTCTCGGTGCATCTCCGAATCTTCTGAGAATTCCGGCAAAGACGAGCGTTCGACGTTCACCAAAAAACGACATCCCTCGCTCCCGCTTCCGTCCAAGCCTTCATCATACTCGCGCACCTTATAACTACGACGGATGCCAGTAATCTTACCCGCGGCAGCGCAAACGACGAGGAACCAACAGCCCCGTAGAGCTACACGCCTCGCTTCAAAAGCAGCGCCTCGGGAACGTCCGCGGGGAGTACTCCGAGCCGTGTTCCCAAACGCGCTCCTCTAATCCAGCGCAAATGAATACGGCCGCCTCACCTCCTCAGCTCGCCGCGCCGCGCGCGCCAGCAAAAGTCAGCAGCCAGAGGGCGCTACCTTCCCACCGAATTTCCGAAGAGGGGGCTCCTTCGAAGCGGCTAATCGCAGCCGCTTACCCCGGACGAGCCCGCGGCCGGCGCCCCCGCCGGCGGCCATTGTCGTCGGCTAATCTGCCGTGCTGAGATAACGGATGACAGACCAGGGCTAATTATTTCCATATAAATAACACCGCCGGGAGCGGCCTAATCCTCGCTGCTGCAGGCAGCCGTCATGCGCAGCGGATGATCCATTTCGAGGACCTCGCGGCCGCCGCCGCCGCCGAGTTCGGCTCCAGCGGGGCGCGGCTTGGCTTGGTTTGGCTGAAATGCCTTCTCTGGTCTTAGTCGCGCTCGACTTGCGCCGGTGCAGTATGGCGCTCGATGTCTTTTTGGTTGAGGGGGGAAAGAGGGACGTTGTAGTAGCAATGATACTGCTAGGCGCGTTTCGTTTTTGTGTTGTGCGCGCGTCGTCTCCGTTTTTATGCGAGTCTGGGTGTGCGCGAGCGGGGAAAGGAAAGTTGATGTGCTGCGCCCGCCCGCTGTTGCGGAAACAACTGGCCAGCCAGCGCGGGGGATTTCTCCCGCCGGGCCGTCTATGATTCACGATTATTAAAAGTCGCTGTAAGCTGTTACCTTTTCCACGTCAAAGAAGAAAAAAAAAAAAAAAAGGAGAGGGGCGATTCAAAACTTGCGTTTTCGTTTAGCTTTGATTCCTTTCACGATTGGTGACGAATTCCTCGTTTAATAGTAAGTTAGACTTCGATGTCTTTGGCGGAATCTTTTCTTCTTTATGTTTCTAGAGTGAGTTGGTGTTCTAGGCCAGTCTCGGAGGTTTTTGACTCTTCGCCATGACGCGTAATCCAGTAGAACACTCTCAGACGTCCTCAAGGGAATCGTCGCTCGGCCCTCCTAATACCAATAATGGTGGTCTTCACCCTGAGGCACGCAATTATTGAAGCACCCATATGTACTTTAAGCAAAGCAGTCGCCACCTTGGGACTTCTTACGAGGTACTCTGACGGGTCATCGACCTAGACGTTTTGTTGCAAAGTCATTTTCTTTCGGTTTTCTCTGTTGGGTCGTAATAATGACTTGGGAGAAATAATACAATATCCAATAACGATGTTACCTGTAACACAGTAAGCTTGTAGTGATTTACTAAAAGAAACCCTATGAGGAGTAAGAGGAGAGGCGCTGAGAAGGCGCCAGTGTCTGTGGATTGCTGCGTTCATACGGAGCACCCTCCATGGGTTGCGCGAAAACTCTGCTTCCCTATAAAACAAAGCTCGATTTTCTTCTTTTTACGTGTGTCGCTATTATGCTCCGTATTTCTATCTGAAGATTTCGTAAACGCCGAACCAATCAGTGAAGTTATCACTGACAGTCTCGGCTCATAAAGATGCAAACGAAAAAAGCGCTTTGGTTGAACGACGCGCTCTACCAACACATTGTCAGAAACCGTTCACCCACACCAGGGACGAAAGTTTTCTAACAATCTGTTATAGTCCATTGCAACTTAAGAAGGTAGGGCGAGGGTAAGACGGGCCGGGAAAGGGGAAGCAGACGGAACGCTGGAGAAGAGAGGTGGAAACCTCCTTCTCTCTTTAGCGTTTCGTCTGATTCCTCTTCCCCGGCCCGTCTTTCCCTCGCCCTACCCCCTTCCTGAGTTGTAACTTCTATATAAACCGTTCAAACCGGTATCGCGTGAGATGAAGCTCGCCGCGTGCCGTTTGCCTCGCCACTGCAACGACACAGCGCCAGAGTCCTGACACCTTCGTGGCCAATTCTGAAACTCTCCAGGGGCAAGATGATAGTGGAGGAGCTGGAGAAGGAGATTGTGGCGTCCAAGGCCAGAGGCCATGTGCCGTTCTTCGTCAACTGCACGGCCGGCTCCACCGTGATAGGCGCCTTCGATCCCATCCACCCGATCGCCGACATCTGCGAGAAGCACGGACTCTGGCTCCACATCGACGTAAGTCGGCTGCTTTTGCAGCTATACTTACGACGAGGCGTGATTGTGCAACTTTATGATCAGCTGCCATGTGCTATTCCGCGTCAAGCCAAACATTTGTAACATTTAAAGATAGCAAATGTTTAACGCCAGAATTGTACATCTTTGAACGAGCCTACGAATTCATCTCAGTTTCGTTTAATTTAAACTAGAATTTAAATAAAAGAGCGATTTCGAAAAAGAAAAAAATCCTAATTATTTTGTTTTTAATTTTGATCCAGGAATCAAGATTCGATAAACATTGATCTTTGAGAAGTTTAAGAACTGTTTGTAAATAAAACCATGATAGCAATGATCTTCGCTTTTTAATGAGAGTTGCAAGAAATCGCATCGTTGTATGCAAGTAACGCGACTGGAAAATTTCCCGGTGGAGACAATGCGCTCGGCAATGGAAGTTGGTAATATATATCCTTTTAAAACATTTGTTTCTTTATTCAGTAATCACCTTTCAGTGCCCGTGGAGGTTACAGCAATGGGGTTTACAGAGATAAAAACAAACAAATCTTCATTCAAACAGCACACTTGTGCTTCCGTGAGCCGATTCCATTGTGCAATCGTTCGAAGGAAAAAAAAAAAGAATTGGAAATTATGCTTGTCCTAGTTCGGTACTCTAATTTTAAGACTGATAATTTCGACTACTGATCATTTCGACTAGATACATAATAGTTTTGTTTTAGGAAAGTCTCGCTATTTGTTCCGGTTTTATATTTGGTTACTGTAAACAGGAATTTGAATCGCACTTTTTTTTCCGACACGCTGAGTGTGATTCCATGTTTATCACATTTTTTAAATTTCTGTGCAGCTTTCCTTTCTCCCATATCTGCTGAGAACGGCCCTAGCCTCGTTTTTTCTTTGTTTTTTTTTTAAGTTGTTTGGGCTGGGTTCCAGACGACACAGGCGTACTCTACAATGGATATACCCAGTGTCGGCGCTAACGCGTTACAAGTAACGGCGTTACCGGTAACGCATATTGCTTTTTTCGGTAACATAGTAACGTACTCTTTAAATTTTCAAAACACTACTGGGTAACATACTTACGTTACTTATTTCAAGTAACACGTAACTTAGTTACATTACTCGTTACATCTTGTTCCCAAGACCTGAAAAAAAAAAAAAAAAAACTTAAATTTGTTTCGTGTTTCTATACTTCATTTCACCTTAACTCCAGACGCAGCCGACGCTACGAGCTGATGGGAACAATCAGACATCCTCCAAAGCGTACCCTTATCGTGTCCGTCATGTTCCTGTTCGTGTTCTATCACCGCTGAACCGATCATAAGCACAAAAAGTGCAGTGACTTGGGCTTTTGACGCTGTTTGACCAGTACCACTAGCTCGTAGGGTCGGCTGCGTGCGGACTTTCGCTGAAACGAAGTATAGGCGCCAAGCGATTAATTATTACGCTCATTCCAGATACCTTAACGATTTTGCCTGTCATTTCCCCACGCGAAACATTCCACTCTAAAAAAAGTCCTAACGCCCACGCCCTTTGTTCCAGTGTAAAAAAACGCTGTAAACATTGTTAACGTTAATTTATAAATACAAAGTAACGCGAAAGTAACGTACGTTGCGTTTTATCGGTGACGGTGACGCGTTCCATTTATATTCAGGTAACGTAAGTCCATAACGCATCCCTTTATTTTGCGAGTAAAAAGTAAGGTATATTTTCCTACTTTTTTCGGTAACGCCTACAACACTGGGTATAACCCGTGTCAAATGAGCGGTTGTCTCTAAGTTAGGTTGCGAACATTTTAAGGCATGTTGAATGAAATTCATCGTCGATGTTGGGCAGTGATGCCCATAATGGGCAATACTGAATGAAATTCAATATGATCAGCAAATGCTTCTTTCCTGATGTGAAAAAAAGTCGGCCCCACAGCCTCGGTTGCCTGTTAAAACAACGTAATGTTTGTGAAAAAAGAAATTATAATAAGGAATATGAAAGTCGGAGAGACGCGACTAATTGTACTCGCAGCGGTCTTGTTCATATAGTCGCCTTTCAAAATATTCCGACGCTGTTTTTACTCGTAGCGGACACAAGACCCTGGATGGATGGATGAACGCGGCTGAGCCCTTTGGATCGGGCGGTAGCGTATGCCACCTAGCCATTTTGTTTTACCATTTAAGCTTACAATATTTAAATGTGAAATCTATATTCACTCTGCACTGCAAAGAAAGTGGGGCTATAAAACCCCCTTGCCATCAGTTAATAGGAAAATACCTAGTTTTCCCTCGCTTTCAGCCACCATTCACTTAATCTTTGCTTGGTAATCTGTACAGTCTTGAAATCCACTCTCCCTTCACTGTCTCTAAAACCCAATGACTTTATTAAATCCATGTTGTCTTCGGTAGGCATAGGGTGAAGCCCTTTACAGTAGATTATCAAGCGCTCAGCCGTCTCGTCCTCCTCTTGACAAGCAGTGCACACTGTACCCATTTCCTGGTACCTCGCTCTGTATGTTCTGGTTCGCAGAACACCCGTCCTCGCCTCAAACAACAGTGCGCTTCCCCTAGAATTGTCATAAATGCTTTCTTTGGCAATAACTGTTTTGTTTAATCTATAGCTTTCCAGAGCCGTCTTTGTCTGCATTCCGTCTAGCCACCGATCTTTTTCTGTGGCCTTAACTTTCTTCTTAACTGAGACCTGCTCTTCCGTAGCTCCACTATAGCCTAAAAACTTTCCTCTTAATTTCCTAGTGCGCTGTCTCCACTTTGTGTCTATGCTCCTCATGTATAAACAGCTAAAAAACTTTCGTGCCCATTGGTCCCCATCCATTTGCCTCAACCGATCCTCAAACTCTATCTTGCTCAGAGCTTCCCTGCTCTCAAAAGACGCCCATCCCATGTCTCCTTGTACTCCCTGGTTTGGCGTTTTGCAATGTGCCCCCAAAGCCAGCCTACCTACTTCGCGCTGTTTTATTTCTCTCTTGCATGCACTTCGGATTTCGTGCAAAGCACTGCGTTTTCAAAAGTCAAGCCAGGCACCATGACCCCTTTCCAAATCTCTCTCACCACCTCATACCTGTTATAATTCCAAAGTGCTTCATTGTTCATTACAGCTGCCTTTCTGTTGCCCTTACCTATTATATACTTTTCATGCTCACTGAGATAATCTGCACCGTCACATATCCATACTCCTCTCTCCACTGTAATATTCTGTATCTTCAGCCTCTCAACTTCATCATTGTTAAAAATCATGACTGCTGATTTTTCACTACTGAATTCTAAACCTAATTCCTCTCCTTCCTTACCACAGATGCTCATTAATTCCTGGAACTCTGTCCTGTTGTTAGTCATTAGTACAACATCATCCGCATACATCAATCCCGGTAAGGATTGCTGAATGTTTTGGCCTAGCTTACTGTACGAAAGGTCGAATCCAAGCCCACTCTTCTCTAGTCTATCCTCCAACCCTCTCAGATACAACATAAACAGCAAAGGCGATAACGGGCACCCCTGCCTAAGGCCTCGGCTTATCTCTATTTTCCCCGTCGCCTTTCCTTCCCATGTTATAATCACCTTATTATCTTTGTAAATGTTCCTTAATAGGGCTGTTAGTCCTTCATCTTGGTTTAAGCTCTCCACTATGTCCCACAGGTTCCTTTGATTCACATTGTCATAGGCACCCTTGATAACCAGAAATGCCAGCCAGAGCTCTCTGTTTTGTTTTTGCGCTATTTCTATACATTTTGTTAGAGAAAATATATTGTCCTCTAACCTTCTTTGTTTCCGAAATCCGTTCTGTAACTCACCCAGTATGCCCTCGCAATCTACCCACTCCTCCAGTCTGTTCTTTAAAATCTGCATTACCAACCTGTAAATAACTAGTGTCACGGTTATGGGACGATAATTCCTAATATCAGACTTATCTCTCTTTCCCTTATATATCATACTCATCCTATTAAGCCTCCATTCATCTGGAATATTTCCTTTTGTTATCATAGTGCTCACTACGTCCCTTAGTTTTGCCTTAGATTTAGGACCCACATTCTTCACCAGCTTGATTGGGATCCCATCTGTGCCTGTCGATGTGCCACTAGGGACTCTTCGTTTCGCCTTTTCCCATTATCTTTGTCCAAAATCCGCGATGGCACAAGCTGGACTGCTACTTCCTTCGGTTCTCCTATCTTCCACATGTACCCGTTCCCGAAATTTCTCCTCCATCACTGCCCCTATATATCGTATCCATGGGCGTACCAACCGGGGGGGGGCAAGGGGGGCATTTGCCCCCCCAGTTCTCAGAGTGGGTGGGCAAGGCATGCGTTTTGCCCCCCCTGAAACGGCCGCCACTGGGCAGAGCAGACACAGGCCGGCGGCGCCCAAGGAATACCAAGGGCACTGCCCCCCGACCCGCGCGGGCATATTTTTAACGCGCAGGCGATACAAACCCTAGCAACGGTGCTCGCGCACGCCGGATTGGCTGGTTTGTGGAGCCTTGCCCCACGAACAAGGCTACACGGTAACCTAACGGAATCCATCCGCGAGACATGGGCCGGACGGGCCGTCCAGACCAGGACGTAGGCCCTTACACAAAATAAAGTTTTGCTTGCTTGCTTGGAGATAGGCGCTGCCGCCGTCAACATAGGCAGCGGATGCAATGCGAGTTTCCGAAGAGGTAGCGTAACTTAGTGGTGAGATGTCTGCCTCATACGTGTCAGACCCGGGTTCTATTTATGGTGTGGGCCGGCTTACTTCTTTTTATTTTTTTTCTCAAACATTTTGTTTTGTCGAGGCATTTGGCGATATTTACATTTCTTTTTTACCATTAACACTAAAAAAACGAATGTTGTTGACGAAACATCGCTAAACTAAATCGTATCGACTCTATTTACGGAAGTGCATGGGGGGCAGCGGGGCTTGGGTTGCCGACCGGACGCCGCAAAGCGGCGTGTACGGGGGGTGGGGGGGCTAGGTGGGTTAATAGATTTGTAATTAGCAGCCGCACACCGTCACCGCGAAGCGGCGTGAACGCAGGCGCGGGGGTGGGTTAACGCGCTTCGAGTGATACACGAGCAGCCCATCCGGCGTGAGCGTCGTTGTTAGGGGTTCTATCGCCTGCACCGTAAAAGGAGCAGTGTGTGCGCCTCCTGTAGTGGGCAAGAATTCCTACATTGGAGAGAAGCGGGGACAAGCCCTTTCTTCAAATGCGTCAAGTCTCCTTGAGCTTCGGAATACAAAGAAACGCCACTATTCGGCGCTAATCCCACAGTTACTCGACCTCTCTTGCGTCGTGTCTGTTCGCTCCCCGCGCCTCGTAGCAGTGTTGTTGCAGTGGGGGGGCTCGTTAAAATTTTGGGGTTTTTTGGACTATCTAAATCACTTTCTTCCTTCCCATCCCCCCCTTTTCTACTCCGCATGCTTCCCCCTCTGCAAATATCAGCTGACCTTCCGACATCTTTTCTGTGTTGATAGGCAAAACAACCACTAAAATTAGAAAGTAATTTGTAATTTGAGTGGAAGTCACTCGGAAAAGTAGTTAAAGTAAACTACGAATTACTAGAATATAAATGTAATTAAAAGTTACTAAACTACCCAGAAAAGTAGTTAAACTACAGTAACTTGAGTAAAGTAGTTGAACTACGTACAAGTCTGGCCCGGCAGGCGCTCTGCGTAAGGGTTTTCACCTATCTGCCTAGCCCCGCACACCATCACATGGGCCAAGAAAGGTGTAGTTTTACTGCAGAGGAGAAATCAGCAGGGCCCAAGATGGTGACAATGGAGGATGGGGGACTGTTCCAGTGGCTGATGGCTTGAGAAAGGAATGACCAATTGAAAGCGTTAGTAGAGTCAGAAATGTGCTTGATGGTGCAGACGTTGTTGAGGCGAGAAGATGTTCGGTCGGGGGGTAATAACAAAGTGGTTTTGAGGTCGGGAATGTGGTAGTAGATTTTGTGAATAAAGCACAGCTGAGAGATTTTTCTGCGAAGTTGCAAAGAGGACATGGTTAGTTCAGTTTTTAGCGCTGAGACACAGAAAAAAAAAGTCATAAGTGGATGAAATGAAGCGAGCAGCTCTGTTCTGAACTGCCTCTACAGGGTATTGATGAGGTACAGTCGATGGGTATTCAAGATTGTTGAAGCATATTCTATTTTTGGTCTGACGTACGTGTCCAAGGTTAGCTTACGAACAAAGGGTGGAGCCCTTTTTAAGTTACGTCTGCTTAGTCCAAGAGTTCCAGATGAATCGGCAGTCATGACTTCAATGTGGTTATTTTAGGGAAGGTCAGATATTAGTCTTACACCAAGGTATTTATACACAGTAGCGGTCTCAATCAGATCGGAGTACAAGAAGTAATTAAATGACAGTGTTTGTTTTTTTTCTTGGTGAAGTGGATTAGTTTGCGTTTATACTTGTTTAATGACATAATCCACTCTTTGCACCAATTGTTAATTTTCTCTAGATCTTCCTGAAGCTGGTTATTATTTTGCACACAAGTTACTTTGTTATGGATGACGCAGTCGTCGGCGAAAAAGCGGTTTTTTGAAGAAATCCCAATGGGGATGTCATTAATAAATATTAAAAAGAGTAAGGGCCCAAGTACGAACCCCAGGGGAACACCAGGAGATACATTTACTAAGGAAGATTCATGATCATCATGGACGTGACCTGTACACGGGAAAAAAGAAAGTCACGAATCTATGCAACCGGTTATTTGGTCGAGGCAAAAAGATGATAGCTTAGAAAGAAGGCGTTGATAAAAAACACGGCCGAACGCCTTGGAAAAAAAAAAAAAAAAAAGAAACTGCGTCAGTGTTTTCATTTCAAGGTTCAAGGTTAGTGTGCAAGTCATGGATGAAGTCGCAGAGTTGTGTTTCGCCGGAAAGTACAGTCTCCGGCGATATGAAAGACCCACTGGGAGCGCGTGGCCGAGGCGGTGGCTGGTGGGGGCGCTGCAAGCACTCCGGGCAGTTCCATTCTGCTTCGAGGGGAGGACGCTCGTTCGGCACTCTGCACAAACTGATAAGCGCGTTTCGCTTTATCTGAGCCCGAGTGAGCGTCCTCCCCTCGAAGCAGAATGGAATTGCCCGGAGGGCTCGCAGCGCCCCCGCCAGCTACCGCCGCGGCCACGCGCTCCCAGTGGGTCTTTCATATTGCCGGAGAGTGTACCTTTTTGAAAACCGTGCTGCTGTTTAAAGAAAAGAAATGGGATGATAGGTGCCTCATGATATTGGAGTAGAGGATATGCTCAAGTAGTTTGCAAGAAATTGAAGTCAATGAATTAGGGCGATAATTAGATGCGGAAGAGCGGCTGCCCTGTTTAAAGACTGGGAATTACCCTTCCCACCTTTTGGTCAGATGGAAGGCACCTTTGAGATAAGGACTGAATAAAGATAAGTTTTAAATACTCACTCGAAATAACACTGGTGTTTCTTTTAAACTTTAGAGTTGATGTTATCGGTTCCAGCGGACGAAGTAAGTTTTAGTTTATCAATCAATGTTATAATACCGGCGGAGTTAACGTTAATAGGATGCATGCGCTCGTAAAGCTCTTCAGGGAGAGTGGGGACGGAGGTTAAGCACTCGTTAGTAAACACTGATGAAAAATATTCGTTAAACACAGAACTATCATGGTCGACGTTGCACATCCGACCATTCCTAACTCTCCCCATCTTCCTAAACGTCCGTGTGTGTCCGAACACCAGAAACCGGAATTTTAAAGGTTAAAAACGGCACGTTGCGAATATGGAACGCGCACTTTCATGCAAAGCTGACGTCAAGTGACTCAAATCGAAAAACATGCATATTTACAATATTGTTATCTCTTCTGGTGAAGGCTCAGCAACCGTTGCATCCGTTTTCGCGCACGAAACGGCGACTACCAGAGAAAGTAAGAACGCAGTGATTGCCTTTATTTTAACAATGTAAACACACTTGCAGGCGTGCGCTGATGAAGCCTCAAAATCAAAGCTCTCATAGTGTGATTCGTGACTGTGCTGGCTACTACCCAACCTCGTTGTCACGCCACTTTCTGGAGGCATACACCAAAATTACAAGTAAACACACAAAAGCGACATTGATACAATTATCTTCTAGAATATCACCTTATTTAGTTATAACTCTTTCAATAGGCGCTACAAGTTGTATTTATTTTAAGAAGAAGCAAAATTTTTTTCGTGAGAAAAAACAAAATATCAATGTTAAGTCTGGTAACGTTGTAATTTTGCCGAATCATTGCCAAATCTTTAGAAAAGTTGGACAAAAGTTGCGCCGAATTTTCGATTTGGGGGGGGGGGGGGAGAGGGTCTGGTTTGCCCCCCCACTCAAAAACAAGTTGGTACGCCACTGATCGTATCGCATTATCTCCAATTGATCTCCCTGATGCGAGAGTATGAACCTCTGTCTAGCTTGCGTCGTTTCACCGAGTGAGTTCAAGTGCTCCCAAAAATTCTTAGCTGCGTTTCTATTTTTCTTGCTTACATTACTCATCCATTCCTCACCCTTTCTCTGAATTTTCGCATTGATCAAACTGGATGCCTCTCGACGACATGTTATAAAAGTGTCCCATTTTCTCTTTACTTCCGTTTCTGAATCCCCACTGCGCTTGGAATACCTGTGTTCTCTAGCGGCTTCTTGACGTTTTTGTATCGCTTGCTTCATTTCTTTGTCCCACCAGCTTTTCGGTCTATGTCCTTGCTTCCCCTTTCGTTTGCTCTGAACTGTGTCTAGTTCCAAAGCAAAAAGCCTGGTTAGGCTCTCATAGGTCCAATCTGTATACTGTTGCCCTGAAACTGCTTCCTCTATTCTTTTAGCAACTATTTCCAACTCTTTGTCGCTGCAGAAGGTTTGCTTTGAATTATGTTGTCTAGTTTCATCATTTACTTCTCTGGCAAAATTCAGCTTAATACGCTTGTGATAACCCTTTTTTCCAGAATGCGCGCCATCTAGCGGCTGCTGCACCAACCTTCGGAGTCCGCCATTGCTCGATCATATACTCTGAGCGCTCATTGGACACGAGGGCATGCGTCAGTGTTCGGCGAATACTCGGATCCAATCATGCCCTTCGTGGCCAAAAAATAGCAAACGCCAAAGTTGCCCGATGGACCTTCGAAAAGGGTCTATTGAGCCGTCTAAATATTGATCCTATGAGTGACCTGAGAGGACGACTCGAAAAGTAAACGCACTTCAGCTTCGATGCTCCTATTCATAGTGCTTTCGGTTCGCCCTGCCGCCGGATGATTGGCGGACAAACTTAACGACTTCATTTTCAGAACCTCCTTCGTGTAACTGCCGCACCAATGTACTCAAAACACCACCCACAGGCTGGGGTTTCTAATGTATTGTGGTCCGGCGTGTGTACATACGTGTAATGCAGCTCGAGTTACAGTTTGGAATGCAAAACAAATGTAACGTCCAACGTGTTGTAAAACTGTTTGGATCATAGCGTTTTTTTTGGTTGCAGAGTGCGTGGGGAGGAGGATGCCTGCTGTCCAGAAAGCACCGTCATCTCATGAGCGGCATCGAAAGGTGAGACCATCACTTAGTTCAGAATTAACAACAGATGCTTGTTTGTGTTTTTCTGACAGAACTAGACTTTAGGAAAACCTGCGCCCCAAAAACTTAATTCCAAGCAAAAAAAAAAAAAGAACAAATTCTAGTGATTATGTTTGAGGGGGGAGGGGGGTCGTTTACATAAATCCACCGCTAATCCAGAAAAATAAGGCATAACTTGAACTTGTTATTAATTTTTCATATTCTGATCCACAGAAAGTGTTAGAGGCGATAAGAAAATAAAAACAAAATATAAAAGAAAAAAAAACTTTCAGCCTTTCCACTCTGGTGAAGAAGGAAGAGCAGCGGAGCTGTAGCTTCTGTTCGCGGCGGTGGCTTTCCACGCGAACGATCTGCTCGTCTTTCGCAAAGGAATCTGAAGCGCCCGACGCACTCGAACTTTCGACGATAGCGGGTTCGCAACGGTTGCGAAACCATTCGCGCTGCTTCGCGCACCGCCGCTTGTTCCGTTCCCGCTCTTCTCCCTCCGAAGAAATGCCGCGCTCTCTGAGCGACGGCGGCACGCAGAAAACAGGCAAACACAACACTGTGGACAGCTACCGCCATCTAGGAGTGACGGCAGCAACCGTCGAGTGACGGCAGCACCGTCAAAATTTTTTTGCGGGAGACACGATCCTGGGGAAACTAGCCCTTAACAGCTCCGCTGTAAAAACACACCCAAATTTGTACTGCGATTGACAGCTATATGCTGCGTTGTGAAAAGGTATGTTCAAAGAGATTTGGTTTCAACCAAGTGTGCTGTACAATGTTTTCAATGGGTTATTCGCTTGCAGTGGAATTGATGTAGAAGACGTGTGTGAGATGTGTGCTTTGGTGGAACGATTGTGCAAAATATTGCATGTTAAAAGCACACACACATACAGACGCACACACAGAAAGACGTGCTTTTTTATAATTTTTTTTTTTTTTTTGGGGGGGGGGGGGGAGTAAAACGCTAAACGGGGCCGCCCGTAACCGCGTCTGCGGTGGAAGAAGCGAAAGTACGTACGGTACACGAGCTGTACTGAGAGGCCCGGAGAAGGCACGAGGACGGAGCTTGGGCGGCGGCAGTGGGGAGGCGAGGGAGCGTGTCCGCACAGCGTGACCACGTGGGCATTTCGCAACGGCGGCTCCCGGAAAGGGGGGGGGGGGGGGGGGGGAGTGTCGCCGGAGCAAGAACAGTGGCGGCCTACAGGGGGGTAGAGAGGGGGAAGCGAGAGAGAGCCTTGCCGTGTGTGAGGAAGAGGAACGACGGGGAGAAGGAGAGCAGCGCCTCTACTGTAGAGTGGGGTTTTGCGTTCGTACATGACCATTTTTTGCCGAAATCGGGCGCTAAGAGATACCACTATAAAACACAAAAACATCTACATTGCAGGAACATGCGTAGGGTTTTCATACATATAAATTAGTCGTTTAATTTCTGCGTTTGTTTCAGTTACATGTTTTGTCTTGCATTCGTGGTCACGTTTGATTGCGTGGTGTTTGGCTTTTAATTACTTGACAATTCTTTAAACAGCCAGAGGTAATGGAGGTCAGGTGTCAAAAATCAGCGTCTCTATGACCACGTCCTTAGCGGAAAACATGGGTGTTTAATTTACGATGGTTACAGAGCGTTCCAGCGGCCAGTCCCGGTCTTAATAAAAAAAAACAGTTTTAATTTGTTTTCCTCTTCCAGTGAAATGTTCGATACCATAAATAAGATTAAGGTGGTTCTCAGCTTCATGTTTGCTTTCGAACCTAGTGCCTCTAACATGCATCACGCGGTACAACACCCATGTTCATCAATACCAGAAAGTGGTAGAAGATCTGAACTCCTGTTTACTTTACAGCTTGAAAGGTTCACTCCTTTGCATGTTGCCCAACCGTGTTGCTTTGATATATTCGACTCAAAAACGCAGGCCACTGCGTCATTCACGTTTACTATAACGGTATACTTGCATTCCTTTCAAATGTTGTCTGAATGAAAGTTACGCTTTTCACCCGGCATTCCTCCCTAAAAAGTTTGGCGACAGCCTTTATCCGTGTATTACCACTTAAAGTGAAACAAAAGGCACCATTTTGTTTTGCACCACGTTTTGTTTAGTGCCGCGCTAAAGCGATGTTTCACCATCGGTCGGCAATTCCAGCCAAACTCATTTACACATGCGATCACCTCAGATTTCCTCATCAAAACTGACTCGCAGTCACAACCACGATTTATTAAAAACAGGATCATCACAGACACTCACTATCGTGATTCAACGCGTAACTAAAACTCACTCGCACTCACAATTACATTTATTCAAAACAGGGCCATCACACATATTCACCATCATGATTAAACACAAAACCAAAACTCACCCACCCTCATCATCACGATCATCACGCTCACAGGTCATCACGGTCATCACGTTCCCAGATCATCAAGGTCATCAGACTCACGGTCATTACACTCACACCAGAGCACAATCATCACAATTAGTTGTCGAGTAGAACTATGTCGGAACGGTCTGTCTTCGCCATTTTTACGTTGTTTATCGTGTCCCGGAGGACAGAGAAAACATCTCCTTCATTAAAAAATGTCGCGATTCCGCTGCATAATCACCAAGCATAAATCGAGCTTTTTTTCCCCAGCTGCAGCCGCGAGTGGCAGCCGCAGAAAATACGGGGAGAAGATCACGTGACCTCACTCGGCTCCGAGCTGCAGCATAACGTCCGCTAATGTAACCAGAGAGAGGGAAAGGAAGCGTCCTTCGAGAGAGCACACGGAAAGTTACACGGCACCCCGAATTACGCCACTAGGTGTGCGACCAGGTGTCCCTACAGACTGGGAGTGAGTTGAGGGGTGCCAGAAATGCCAATTCTGTTCTTTACTTTAGAAGTGTCAGAGGGAAACTCCACAAATTTTGACCGAAGTCCGGATATCGTTGCACCCCCCTCCCCCTTTAAGGCGAGCGCGCTAGAAATAGTAGCTTCTGTCCTAGAGCGTACCGGCGTAGCGCTCGTTTTCCTCCTTCACAAAACAACAAAACCCCATGCGTGGGGTGCCGCGAAGTCTTCAGAAAAGCGGTCGAGGCGAGCGGGAGAGCCCTGATGCCTCTCCTGACACTCCGCAACCAGACTTGTAGACGTTACTAAAAGAAAGTAATGAGTTACATTTACAATCGCCTAAGGCTAAATTGCAAGTAATAACAGTTACAGCCATTCCTCCATAAGCGCGAGTAATTGCTGACTCAAAAAGTAATCCGTTACTTTCGCGATGTTGCTTTCAACCTCACTGTCCCTGAGTAAGACACAAAACGCAAGGGTTATGGAAGCGTTTATTGTTGCCACCAGTCACACTTTCGCGACCTTGAGCAACAGGTTGCTTTCGGAAATCTTGTCGGACATCTTGCCTCGTTTCTGAGTGAAGACGTCGTCCGCCGTGCTGAACACCCTCTCAATCGAGGGATTCACGAATGTATGACGCACTGCATTGCGTGTTTCTTGCAAATGATATAACAGCTGTCTGCCCTAGTGAAAGCGTCAGGCTTCGTTAGTTTTGTTTCTGGCCGCCATCTTACATGTTATTCCCGATCCGATTGAAAACACCTCCACATTTTAGATGCAATATCTCTGAAATTGGGGGGGGGGGGGGGGGGGGGGGGGTCTTGTTTGGTATATAATATTTTATGGTACTCAAATCGCTGCGCTATAAAATGTTAAAATAAGAACACAACTTTGTGGTTGAGAATGAATCAATAAAATATAGCCCTGCCAATGAAAAGTAATTAAGCTCCAAATTCCCCTACCTGTTTCAACACATCCAACGTTTATTCAATTGCCAGGCACATGAAGACAATGACATCTCACTTGCTTCTAGGCTGATATAAAGCGAAAACAAAATAAAAAAAACACCTGAAAATACTACTTGCGTTTTTGGTTCGCACCACGTGACAGCGCTTTTTGTACTTATTTTTTGGCGACGGACACGGGGATGTATTGCAATGATGAAGGTTGATTTGTCCATCAGTGCGCAACACTCCAGAAGCCGCGAGACGGCATGACTAAAATAAGCACACTGATTTGACATAATACAACATTTCATTAGATATTTCGCCTCCAATGTGGAAGGCATATGCTCTGTTCCTACCAGTCGGTGTCTGCTTACTCAAGGTATAGTGGCTAGAGGTATCAGCTAGAATGCAAACGGCGACCAGGCAGTACAAACCAGGCTGACGCACCGCTTCCGCGCGCGCGTCGGGAGTGGGAGGCGAGTGGCCGTGGGGGAGGTATCGGACGCAACGGGTGATTAGACACATTGAAACACCTCCACTACCGTTCTGATACCTGCAAGGCCGCGTAGTCTCCACTGCCTGGCAGCCGTTGCGCATTCCAGCTCATAACGCTAGCCACTGGGCCTATCGCTTACGATGAAATAATCCAGGAAGCATTGATCATATATTGGACTACCAGGTTTGAAGATTACATTTTTTTCGCTCGAGCTCACTGTTGCATTTCCCAGGCCTAGAGCCCGGCCCAGCTACTCTGAGTGACTAATACACATTAGTTGCATTAAAACGTTAAAATGTTGCAAGGGTACATCGGGAAACACCACACAAAATATAGAGGCTAAACATAACAGGTTTAACTTCGTTGGAGTCTACTGTTACTGACAATTTCAATTCAGTTAAAGGTGGCGAGATAACTGTAGGTCATAGCCTATGAGGCGACATCTGTTTTTGCAGAAGCGGACAAGAGTTGTTGTCTTCATACCACCAAAGACAATTTTCAACGAATAATTTTTATGCCATCTCGCCGTGACGTACGAACACACACAATCTGCGGCACATATCGCAAGGTATTCAAAATGTCACTCGAAGCTGATCAATTACGACACCACTTTGCTGCACCTGTCCAGTGATGATAGGAAAGTACCGCCAGGCGTGTGCAAAGATGACATGTACAGGTGAAAACGAGCGGTGAGGGGAAAGCGAGTCACTTGTCTTTATCGCGGTGCGAAAGTTATATTTAAGCAATCGGGCAAGAATTCCACGCACGCTGCCACCAACAGCAGCCTAAAACCACACGAGCCTTTGTTTGCCAGGGGGGGGGGGGGGGGGGGGGGGAGCGTTCGGTTGCCACGTAAGGGCTCGTTCACACTTGCGGAAAACAATCTTGCCGCCGACCAAATTTACAGGGTGAAAAAAGACCGCGCCGTTCACACTTGTTGCCGCCCGCCGCGTCAGCGCGCCTTCGGTCTCTCGCAGATACCAGTGCAGACTGCCCTTGGCTTGAGCGGTGTTTTCAAAGGATTGCTCTCGCGGACTTCCTCTTGCGGTTAACGCTAACCGGCAGTGCCGAGAAGGCAGTCTCAAGCGAAACTTCAAACCCCGCGCAGAAGTTGAGAAGCGAGAGCTTCCTAGCCCACCAAGATGCCCCGGGAAATCACGTGACCAAAAACAGTTCACGCAAATTCCAGCGCTCACAGGTCATCACGGCCATCAGACTCACTACTCATCAAGGATCCTCACGCTCACGCTTAGGAGTTTTTGGGACCCACAATGAGACCTATTTGTTCTCAAAACTCCCGTTCACACTCACGAGTTCTCAGAGCTCACACTCACACTCATGAGTTTTCAGAACTCATGCTCACGATCACAATTTTCCGAGACTCGCGGTCTCACCCATGCTCAGCTCATATCTGGCTATGAGTTTGAGTGATCGCACGTATGAGTGAGGAATATGCCATGGTATACGTTTTACATGCCGTGATTAACGAAACCTCTGCTCCTCAAACGCAGGTCTGACTCCGTCACATGGAACCCCCACAAGCTCATGGGGACCCACCTGCAGTGCTCCACCATTCACCTAAAAGAAGACGTACGTCTCGTTAAATCTCGTATTTTATTTTCATAGACACCTTTGAATCGAACTGTCCGGTGCATGGTGGAAGAAGGGAGAGGTGTCGAAACAAGGCCACAAACGAGGTCGGAATTCCACTTGGGTGTCGCGCATCTTCCGGCGGATCACAGTTGGGTGGGGACTCGGCGCGCAGGCGCGGACTTAGAAACGTGAGCGGGACTAGCAGAGGTTCCTCAAACTTCTGTCATGCTGCAACATCTCACGGCGTTTGTTGGAAATGGGAGCGAGCCTTCGGGGGGAGGGGGGACACACTTGCTCCGTGGCGAGGCGCCGCCGATCAAACTTCTCTATCTGCTTAGTCTCTGATTAAGTAAACTCATTTTGTAATTAAAAAAATAAATGAAGGAAAAACTTACTTTAACAGAATGTTTTTAAGCAAAATGCATTAAGATTTGTCGGACAAGGTTATTTTCATTGATGTAAAAACAGCATCACTTTAGACGGTTGAAGTGTTTGACAAAGCAGAGGACGGTCGAAAAGCTTCACACGCGACGATATGCACAACGGCTACAACGATTGTCTTACTTTACCTCTCCGTTTTAATAGATGAAATTTAAAATGTCACTACCCCGCAGCGGTCTTTTGTGCTTTAGCTTGTTTTGTTACTTGGAAGTTAAGTGAGTAACTTTGTGTCTGTTCAATGAAAAACAACTAACACTCCACTGTTATTTGGGTTGAGGTAATGCATCTGTAGTATAATGTGAAGAATGCTCTTACACCGGAAGGGGTGACTAGGTTATCGCGCGCCCCTTCGCGATGAAAGGAGGAAGCCAGAAGCGCTCGAGCGCGAGCACCACTTTTTATTTTTTTGCTGCTTTACTGAAAGAAGAAAAGGGCAATCGAAAGTAAAATGTCAAGCTGAAGTTGATAGTCTTTTACACACTTCGACAAAACAAGCGCTTAGCTCGGCAGTACTTTTATGGTAACTTGCAGTATTATATCGCGCGAAGCCAGTTTCTTTTTACGATTTATCTTGAATTAAATGGGCCCATAATGTATATTACGATAAAGGTTTTCATAGGGGACAAGGTAGAGGTTTCCATAGAGGATTTAGTAGAGGTATAGAGGTACATAACATAACTAGTAGCCTTAGTTTTAATGTCTATGATTATTTTGAACATATGCAAACGTCAAATGTGTTGTTTGGAGGTATGAACAACTGAAAGGTAGGCGGCTTTAAAATCCTCTCTGATGTCTTCGTTGTAGACTGGAAATTTAGTCATGCAGTACGACTCCTAGCTTCTTTTTTTTTTACATACATTGCGTTATTATTACATGACAACTTGCCAGTGCGGTGCTCATCCAGATCTAAACGAGCAGTGGCGGTAACCAAACCCACGAATACCTTCAAGGATTTCCTTTGTAAATATAAAAAAAAATCCAGATATTCCGCCATTCTTCTTGGTATTAAAAAAAAAACACCTGTGGTAGATTTTTATTTAGATCGCTCATTGAACAGTACCAGCAAGTATTCGTATTCATTTTATTGGCTTTGTATCCGAAAAAAAAAGGTCAACGTTCGTATGGCGTGAGATATTGCTGTGGTTTCATTCCCCCGGTGTCCGGACGATTGGGTTTTGTGTGCAGGGCTTGCTGCTGAGCTGCAACCAGATGTGCGCGGAATACCTGTTCCAGCAGGACAAGCACTACGACGTGTCCTACGACACCGGGGACAAGGTGCCCCAGTGTGGTCGCCACAACGACATCTTCAAACTCTGGCTCATGTGGAGGGCCAAGGTGAGACTACACATGAACCTGTTATACATGTATGTGTCCCCAGAGTAGATTCGGGACTCCGAAACATTCCCGAGAAAAGTGAGTTCGAGATTCCGCGCGGAATGACCCCGAATCTTTAGAGCTCCCAGCGCGGGGATGCCGGGAAGTCTGAAGAGGACTCAGATACGCTCCTTTCTAAATTTCCTCCGCTCGCACTGGCTTTTGAAACTTTAAATGGAAAGGGCGAGGTAGAGAAAGCACGTGAGGACAATCGAGGCCTGACTATGAACAAACGATGCAGGACAGTTATCATGTAAGTATTTTTGTACAAATGGTGTTGATGACCTTATCAATCCAAACGACTAGTCAGTCGTTCTTACAACATTGACACTCGGGGGAGGAGTTTTAGCTACTTTAACGGGTGGCTGCAGTGGAGATTACGCAGCAAAACAAGTTGGGCAAAGCGGTGCCTGCACATAGAAAGCTCAACCTTCTACGGAATGTGAAGTGAGAGGGACCATCGTAGCTAATAAAACTTGAAGAAATTGCTTCTTTTAAGTAAAGAATGAAACCAACAAACTTGGCAGGGTCAAGAATGGACGGTCTCGCAGACGACTAAGTTAAAGAGACGCTGTCAGCAGACGACAGAGTGATTCATCTGCTCGCTGCGCCTATCGGTATATGGCGACGCGAACCCGTACACCGTTGACCCTTGAAACTTTATTACTCTCATTTTGCAGAGAAAGGCAGCTATGCCTTAAAATTTCATGGACTAAAATGCACCACCTAAATACACACTAAATTACAAATAGCGCGAAGACAAAGACAGACGAAGATGTGTCTAAGACAAGGACAGACGAAAAAAGTACCTAAATGCATATTCGTTGGAAGTTTGAGCTTTCTATGTGCAGGCAGCGATTCTACTGGCTCGTTTTACAGTCTAAGATTACCTACGTATTTAACCACCCTATACTTGGAGAGCAGAGTTAGGTCTACTCTGCACGTCAAAATAATAAAAAAATAAAAAAAAGCTTAAAAATTTGGAATTCTGGAGAAAGTTTCTTTTACAACTCGGGGATTTCGGAGTCATTTGAAGAGTTTGAAAGTCGTGATTCTGGAGACCATTGACATTTTTCATTTGTATCAAATACGGAACCACTTCAGTTTCATGGTAATAACTTGAGGCAATGAAAAAAACTCAACTGAGTTTCTGATTTGGGGTTTCCGTGCCCATTAGATTCAAACCCCAGTGAGCACGCGGTATCAAGAAGGCATTCTCCCTTCCTGCCACCGAGGTTGGCAGCCACGGGAGCATGCTTCTCATTGTATTTCCCATTGGTTAAGACTGATTGAAAGATGATTGATATTTCAGTGCACCGCAGTGCGATATATACTCACAGATTTCTGACTATCCATTTGGTCTAGCAGTTTCGGTTCCATTGCTTAACTTCGTCTTACATTGCAGGGAACATCCGGCTTTGAGCGCCAGATCGATCACCTGTTTGACATGTCAAAGTAAGTAGCATGGAGTGCGCGTACAAGCTATCTGCAGAAATATATAGGGTTACGCTTTTACGAGACACAAGAAAGTGCCATAAAACTTTATTTTTAGCAGGCGCTCAATTTTCACACTTTAACGCAAAATGTACAAGCTAGGAAAAACATTTTTTCTCATATTAGGGTAATTAAAAACTTTGTACACTTAAAAAAAAAGGATTGGAGAGTCAATTTCCCCGATCGTAGGGAATTTAACGAAACAAACAAGCCCAAAAACGAAGGATAAAAAACGGTTCAACCTAAAAAAGAAGGTTACGTCGATCATTCTCAGGTCGAAATGCCTCTCCGACCTCGTGTCGTTCGCCAATATCCGTAGATATTAACTGCATCGTCGGCTTTTGAAGATCTCTGGCAAAGTGTAAACACAGTGTGTCTTAACCGAGCGGATAAAGAAAGGTTACTAACACGGTTCAGCGGACATATTTAAGGCAGGTATTCTCTTAGTAAACACTTGAACAAACACTTTAATTGATAAATGATGTCACTCTTAATGCTCGCTCTAAGTTTAAAATGCCCACAGTAAGTAAACACATATACAGACATTGTATAAAATATGTTAACTTATGTTTTAGTTTACATATGTTTTAGTTTAGTTTTAGTTTCCGCTGCGACATAACACCATTCGTCATCACACACGCCTCTCCAACATTTGTGACAATAATCGTACAAGGTAGCTGGGTTTTAAGTCGTTCATGTGATCTTGCGGGATTCATTCGAAGCAGTGTATATTTGAGTATAATGTTTTGCCTTTGTCAATTTCCGTAAATATGCTTCCCACGCGCTCCGTTTTCGTCGTGAGAGTGCGACGCCGGCGATTTTAGCGAAATAATATGCGACTACTCAGTTCTAATATTCACTGTTCACAACCGATAATTTCTTTTTCAGCTACCTGGTAAAGAAAATTAAAGATAGGCCTGACATGTTCCATCTATTACTAGAGGTGAGCAAAATATTGTAAACGTCAAGCTTCATTTGCGGCAGACATTTTCTTCTCGCAATACACATTACGCCTTCATTGAGGTTCCGCTTGCCACACACAGGGTGTATCCTTTTAGGCTTGAGAGATTTGTTTATAGAAAGCCGGTGATGCTATTGGAGCGGCAGACATTTTCTTCTCGCAATACACCTTACGCCTCCAGTGAGGTTTCACTTGCCATATACAGGGTGTGTCGTTTTAGGCTTTAGAGATTTGTTTAGCCGTTAATGCTAATGGTAACGATAAGTCGGCTAATTAACTAAATATGTTATTTCAGTTTATAGTTTCAATTTTAGTTTCATATGATTCTATTAAAAAACTTGCTAAGCGTCCTTGAAAGCCACTAAATAAGTAAATTTTAGAAAGACACGGAGAAGGTGAGAAGCACGGCGAGTTGCTCCTCGTGCAGCGGGAGCAAGGCTATCGGTTTGATAACGCGACGGCGCGGTTCTTTCGTTTCTTAACAACCGCGCTCCTTCAACTCTATCCTTGTGCTTGTTGCTTGTTACACGAGTTATAACTTTAGCGCACTTCTACACCTCCCATACGTTCAAAGTCTTTCTAAAAATTAATGATTTTGTGGTTTTCGATGAGGCCCAGCAAGTTTCTAATTGGAACCATACGTCTATTTTCACCAACTAAAAGGTTAATTGACAAATTTTAGTTAATTCGTCGACTTGTCGTGACGATTAGCCCCCTTTATTATGCACCTCCGGCCGTATATCTCACCTGCACAGAAGACCGCGTTAGCGTAGCTTTCGCTACTTTCTTAAAACAAATATATAAAGCCTAAAGAAAAGAAACACAGGGTAGGTTTTTCTTTTAGCGATATTGAAAAGCGTCCCTGTTTCTAGTTTACGCCTCACAATTCTCACTGTGCTCTGAAAATCTCCGCCGTGCACACTGTTTAAGATTGCACACGGAAAACCACTTTAAGGCTCGCTCACACAGTCCCGTTTTCTTACGTTACGTTACCAAAAGTCAGCGGGAAATCGGTGCTTCGTATTAAGCGTGCTGCCAATTCAAGGAGATAGCCTGGCACGCGACATTCGAGACACCAATGTTTCGGTAACGACGAGCTAGGACGGTGAGTTACGTGGCAACCAAGGACACAAGACTCGTCGTAACGTGACGTAAGGCGATGAGCTCGGTTCAACTTCTCACACAGCACCGTTTTCTAACGTTACGTCTAAGTCACCGAAACATTCGTGTCTCGAATGCCGCGTGCCAGGCTATCCCCTTGAATTGGTAGCCAGACTTAATACGAAGCACAGATTTCCGGTGACTTTTCGAAACGCAACGTAAGAAAACGGGTCTGTGTGAACGAGCCTTTAAGGCCGGTTCAGACACTTGCGTTTGAATGCGTTTGACAGCATTGTGTCGAGAACCGAAAGCGAGTCACCGGCACATCTGTGCTTCGTATGAAGCGTGGAATCCAATTCAAGGAATCATCCTCGCACGCGATATAAGCAGCAGTGATGTCCTGGTTTTTCGGTGCCGCAACGCAGTCAGACGCAGTCAAACGCAACTGTCTGAACCAGGCTTTAGTCAGTTAAACCGCAGGTGTAACGAATGAGTAGGGCGAGCGTTGTCGTGCTGCAGTGAACATGCAGTCAAAGTAAGAAAGGGGCGTCCTCACCTTTAATTACTAAGACTGAATGGCCACTAGTGGCCATACACTCTCAGTAAGGTCTTCGAAGGGTCTCACCTGTACCTCGCGGGAAAACGTACATTTAAGCTGCCAGTCACATTGCTGCTCCACCTCACCAAAAGACAAGGCGTTTGCTGCAGGCACGATGAGAAATTTCTATGCGGACACACCTGAAGCATTGTTTTAAGCATCTCTGCATCATACATATGTATGCTTTGAAAATGTCTGTAAACAGATTTTGTCTTACCAGTGTCGCATGACCGTTGCACAAGGACTGCCTCAGAGAGTGTCCGCGGACTATCTTATGGAGGACGTATATAGCAATGTGAGCATGGCTTTAGAGTGCACGATGGAGTAATCTGAAAGCGGCAGAAAAGTTTGGGGTGGATTCAGGCCCACGTTTCAGCACTGGGTGTGAGCTAATGCGCCGGCTTTATATTTTAAGTAGGTGATTCGCGTACATGCTGTGGGAAAACAAGACTGCTGACCGATGCATTCACTGCTACATATCTCTAACGTAACTGTTCGGCGCGTACTGCTTACCTTTCAGCCCGAACTAGTGAACGTTTGCTTCTGGTACATTCCGGAGAGGCTTAGGAACACTCCCCATAGCAAGCAGAAGGAGCAACAACTTGGAGTGGTGAGTTTTAGCGCCCTATTCTTACGAGTGTTTCGTCGGCCTTCTATGTTTCTTTTTCCTGCCTGGGGCGATTAGCAAAAAAACCTGTAAACACTCATCCTTAAAAAAAAAAAAAAATACAGGAGGAGGCTGGACGGCTGGATAGTATTTCTATATTTTTTGATGTACGCTTTTTGATTAAAATGAAAAAAAAAATAGTTGAACAGCCGGTGAAACAGGGGCGATAAACCATGTTCTGGTGCAGCGCAATTCCCCTCACCTTTGCTGGCCCTCGCGCTCCAGTCGATCTGTCTTATATCCAAAGCTATCTATGACAATAAAGATGTCACGAGAGCGCTCCTTGAATGAAACTGTGCGTTACCATGTCTCGTTGCAGCCCCAAAGAAACTTCAGTCGCGACAGTATGCGCTTACGCTAAATGCCTCACAGATCTATTTTCTTTTTTTAAGGAAAACGCGGCGAACGTATTAATCGTATATAATATATTATTGGTTACTATACATAAGAGTTTTCTCAGAATAAGGTTGTCTGACGTGGGCGAGCACGCGCTTGATTTGCTCTAGTTACTAACAGCCCAGGAAGCGCATGGTGTGGCGACTTCGGATCACCTGCCTCCGCATAATATTCGTTGATTAGCTGATAAGAACGCCGAAGAGCAAATCACGAAGTGTCAACGTAGTAAGCCAAGCCCTGTTTCTCTTCCGTTGTAGGCGAGTGTAGTAACCGAACGATGCCTTTTCTTTACCCTCGCCTTGCAGGTGACAGCCCAGCTGAAGGCCCGGATGATGAACACCGGCACGCTAATGATCACCTACCAGCCCATCTGGGACAAGCCCAACTTCTTCCGCAACATCGTCTCCAACGCGGGCGTCCGCCCAGAGGATATCGACTTCCTGGTACAAGAGATGGACCGCCTGGGACACGACCTTTAGACTGCCCTCCTACGAACTGACCGCGAGGAGTTTGCCCGGTTACCTTGTTCCGTTCGCAGTACTGCCTTCACGTTCGCTGACTTACTTCCGTCATAGTTCGGTTCAAGAGAATCCCCTCCCGGCGTTCGTACTAAGGGCCAAAATAGCCTTAGGGCAACCGCACTCTCGAAGGTTCGTGAGTGTACACTGCGCCACAACGCACTCGGACAGCAACAAACGCTGCTCTTCTTTTAATTGATTTTAACCCATCAGTGGGGCGACCGGTGTCGTGCTCCAATGACTATGCTGTTTCAATGGCGTGCATTTCGGCCACTGAACCTGCATCACCGTAGGGGAGGCCTACCCGACGTCCCTATGATTGGCTAAACTGTTTCGAGAAGAATCAGTGATTAGTGTATAATGTGTATTGCAGTATACATACATGATTTTCCGAGAATGTAAGGGGCCCTTCGCGTTTCAGCGAGTTATAATTGATGAACAATCCTGTTACTAATTATTTATATATATGTTTTTACCTTTTATACCAACTGCGGTCGGCATATACGAGCCAAGATGGGTTGCATTCCTATCAAAACATATATTTTCGGTAGGGAAATCTTTTATTCTCTAGTTGCGGGCAAACACTTATGGTATACCCAAGGCAAACACTTCACTTCTCTCCTCCAAGCGACGTAGCTTCGTCGACAAAACGACTCAAGGTCAGGAAAAGAAACGCACATTTGACATAGGGGTTCTCGTGCCTCTGCTTTTAGAACAAATATGCTAAATGTTAGTAGAATATCTGCGGTGCCAACGGCCGTATGTTGTTCGGCGAAGTCTGACTTCAAATTAGCGTTCATGTCCGGACGCGCTAAGAAAGTATGCCTTTGCCTCCATGTCCAGTGTCAGTGGTGTCACGACGACTGACCTGCAGCGTCCTATGTTCTCTGTCACGAGGCGCTCCTTGGGGGCGCTTGCCGACTACTCTTGTTGTGAGACTTCTGTGATTCTGTTACCTTATAAGTTATAAGGCAGCACCGTATAACGTTTCTGTTTAAAAGGTGTCAAAGCAAGTGTATGATATCTCTAACTAAAATGTGTTATTATATTGTATAGAAAGAAATATCGGCCGCGTTTCCGGCTTTGGAAAGAATTCTAGGCAGTGTTGTGTTTTCGGGGGGGGGGGGGGGGGGGGGGGGTAGAAAGCAGACGTATTCGCGGCGCATGACCATATGCCGTTGCCGCGAAAAGATGCCACGAAAAGATGCCAAAAATCGAACGCCAAACGTTGATTTGTAGATGTGGCGACAGAATGAGAAGCTTCAGCTGCTTCCGCGTCGGTCCATCTCCGAACGCCGCGAGAGTCTTGAGGATTACCAGCTATAAGACAAGGCCCGCACCTTTCCACATTCATCGTCATCACAAGTGAACTGCTGTACCGCCGGCTTCACACAACAATATCAACGCTAGCGTCCGGAGACGCCAAAACACACATGTGTCCCGTTCTTCCGCCGACCGTCATAGAGCCTCAGCGTTTACACTACCTGGAGTGGTATCGCATTTCACTCATTCTAACATAATGCGGGGGCATTGGTGTGTACGTGGTATTGACTTTAACCGCTTGACTCGCGCTTGAAAACGTTCAGAAGCGCACCGGAAGTGGACTGGAACGTCATACTCTTCAGCCACATTTGCCTCTCAACGTACAGCGTTCGACGTTCGGCATCTGTGTGGACGGCCCTCGAACCTTGATTGAGGATATGCTCTCTTAGCGCACAAAATACAACAGCAAAATCCCAAGTCTTCCAAATGCGGGTTTTGGGGAAGGACCGCGGAGCAGCCACGCGATCTGCTGGTCTCCAAGACCTCTCCCGCGCTTATAGTCCGTGTGCCAGGGACTGCGTGCTACGTGTTCTAGAAGAACGTCTATGTGTACGTGTAATAGAAGAAAGAGCGTTAGTGCATACATTCGTCGTGTGCTCCAGAGCGACGGACTGTTGTTGTTGAGTATTGCAGAGTTTAACCATGTTGCGTAGTTCACTGTTTCAAGGGTACGTACACATTGACGCGTGTGAAGCTTCACCATGAACCGCGCCTATAAAAAGTTTTGTTTTTGTTTTGATTTATGCATAATAGGAAAAACAAATCATTACAGAGATTACAAAACTACGCGTTTTAATAGCACTTTTGACACGAGGAAAGCTACGTAAGAAATGAGATATTTGCTATTTATATAGCACAAACAAAATTCTAGAACTGATTACCTCAGATGACGTTTTGCTTTTCAATTGTCAGTGGAAAGAGTCAACAAACTCGATGCTGTTGAGTATTTAACCCAACTATTAGAGGTTGTATATGTATTGTAACTACTTCGATGCACTTAAGCCTTATAGTAGTACAAAGCAGCACTATCATCTCATAGGTTCAATCAATTACACTATTCGTGGTAGAAAGTTAATAATATATGAAGGCCGAAACTATTCCGTGCTTTTCTTTTTTGCACTTACTTAGGTTACTTTTACTCGATGAAACACGCAACCCGAGCAATCGTGTTAAAGAAATTTCCGAATAACATTCCCAGTGATCTGAGACCTGTTCCGTGAATGTACATAGTCAAGCCCGCCTACGGTTGGGGTGCTTGAACCTAATATATATATTTATTTATTTATTTTTACTTTTTAACCTTCCAAGCCTCCAGTGTCTTGATGAAGGACATGAATTTGTGAGCGCGTCGTTCGATGCTTTTATTCATCACTCCTCGTTTTGTCTGAAGGTGCAGCATTATTGCAGTCGATGACATACCACAAGACACGTCTCTGCGGTTTCTGCATACATTTGCTGCTCTTCACGAATGGATGTTTTTTCCGAGGCACTTTAGGAAAGGGGCAAATACCAGGCGACGCTGAAAGCGGCTTAAAATAATAAAAAAAAATCGTAAGAGCAAAGTGTCATAAACAAATATTCTGTTGATTAGAAGCCCAAACTTTCTTGTCCAATTTCAATGACGTGCCCCATGAGAGAGGCTACCAGTCTTTTTTTTTAATTATTTTAATTTACTCTGTAGTACCTTGTAAGATGCGATCTAGAATAGAAGCTCTACCTCCAGAGCGAACTTCGTACCTTGAATAACGCTTCGGCGTACGCGCTGCCAAACATAACGGAAGGTCAGTGAGCGCGTCTTGAAGGTAGAGCTTCACTTGCTTATCTTACGTTCTTGTCATGTTTGCCAACAGAGTTGGTAGAAAGTTTTCAAGTGGACCCCGACGGACACGAGGCGGCGCCTGAAGTTATTGTTAACGTGTGATAGGCAAGTAATGTAAATGTGATTAGATATCCTTAAGGATTTTTTTTTGTTTTCTTTATTTATAATAGTTCACGTCATCTGTTAGCAGCTCGGCAACCCCTACGCTAAATTCTTAAAACACTCCTCTAACCCCCCCCCCCAAAAAAAAAAAAAAAAAAAACGTTAGCGGAGTTTTTTATTTGGTACTTTTTCAGGCTACTCTTACCCACTTTACGTGTCTAAAAAATTAATGCTAGGACTAAGTTATCTTGCTCCATATATTTCTTTCTCTATTACTTAAAAGGTTAAAACAGCGCAAAAAAAACGACGGACAGGGTAAAGAAGGACACGGACAGCGCTCTGTTCGTGTCCTTCTTTACCCTCTCTGTCGTTTTTTGCGCTGTTTTAACCTTTTAAGTATGTCATACCAAGTCGCCCAGGCTTCAACTTCAGCAACATTTATTTCTCTCTATTAGTTTATTTTGAAGGACTTCTCTATGATACGATTTGAGGGCGGGCGAGCTAGTTTGTCGAATCGTCGAGGTCTAGGAACTTCGCAGTTCGGACCAAACACAAATCCCAATTATTGTATCGTTTGCCACACCATTTCCAGACGGAGCCGCCTCAAGGGTGCACAAATCCAACAAACAAAAAGGTTGCTAACGTGAATCTGGCCGTCGCCCTCTGGTGAAACTGAGAAACAATTTCGAGAAGCTCTGCATCATTCGTACCTTCCAGTGACATAGATGCCTGCTCAGGGATGGAGCGCAAACTCTTACTAAGGGCAGTCGGGTTCACCTCAATGCAACGAACTAGTCATCTGTTTGTTTTTCCTGCCAGGTCAGCTCTTGAACGTAGCTTAAAAATTATAGAATTAAAAAAGCGTCAAAAATGATGCGTCTGAATTATACTGCTGCCCCGTGTTTGCCAGTTTGTCGTCCATGTCCTCGTTTTCTTTTCATGTTCCAGTTACTAAGAGGCACTACCTTGAAAGCAGTGGCCCTTTATTTCCTGCAGACAACAAACCACGAGGGGCAAAGACGAGAGGCGCTATAAATTGCAAAACAACATGCGGATTGCTGCGTTTCTGCGCATCTAGTTGTCTGGTCAACCTAAAACTGCATCTCACATTAAAAAAAAAAACAAAAAAAACAACGTCTCATATTTTTTTTTTTTTTTTTTTTTTACAGGTGGCATTATTCTGAACAATAGTGTCTATTGCCATTGACAACTTCAATTCCCTGAGTATCTTATCTTAGATTGCCGCATTAGCTGATAAAAACGCTTAAATATTAATCACGAACCAAGAAGTGCGAACATGCTCCTTAATTCGTTCCTTAATCTGCCAGTTACTTTAATAACCTGACCTAAAGTTTTCCGTAAATACAGGACCGGCAAAAAAAGCCGCCTTCTCAAATTCATTGGCAGTTCACCCGCTTCAAAAATGAAATCGAACACCAAAGAAGAGCTTGGTCTGAACGACAGTGTTCCCTATAGTCGCTGGAAAGTATGAACACGCAGAATGAAGGCCAGCAAAGTTCAAGGTGCCATTTCGCCGCCGCGCGTCTGCCGGTATTTGCCGCCGTTTCCTTCGTGCCCGAATGTGTGGTGTCGCTCGCCCCTAGCCGTTCCTGTCGAGTAGAAGTGTTCCCCCCGTCGTGAGAAGCGCCCGAAGCCCTGAGCCTCGCTTTTTCGGCGGCCACTGACGCCTCTTCTCAGTGGTCTGGATGTCAGCCGT